TCCATCTCTCTGCAGCATCTGAATCTACAGCAGCAACTTTTCGACTTCCTCATTATGAAGAAAACTGAATTTGAGCGCTAGTGCTACTCTGCAGCCTTCTAATCAACAGGTCCATGAGATCAGAAAGGTAGAAAACAAAGGGGGGGAATGGCTTAATTCATACAACACATGTACTGTATCTGCATACCAAAGCAATTTCTGTTTAATAATAGTCATTCTTCAGCAACAACGAATGCCAGAAAATGATGGCTAACCTCAGAAGAGATTGGTCTTCCATGCCTATAAAGGTTTAAAACAGTAAATGATAAAAAAAATTAGGGTAGACAGTTCCATGTATGGGAGGGTAACTGGATCAGAACTTAGCAGCCTTAGCAATTGTTACAGCAAGGAAAAATTGCCATTTGTATCACAGCATGGAGATGCCGTGGATGGATATATGGCATTTCTATATACAACGAAAGCCTGTCCTGCCTGGTGTTTGGAAAATACTTCCTTCTTGCCCATTTGTGATACTGTGCAAGTGGTGAATATGGCACAAAGTTCAGGCCAGAGTCTTCTTCGGCTTCATGGACAGAACTCCTACACAATTGCCATGGCACCAAGCAGAGGTCAGGAAAAGTGCCTGGTTGGTCCAGAACTGACTTGCTATTGGGCATGTGGAATAAACAAACAAGATATTGGCCTCAATTTCTAAATTTTTTAGAAGTGTCCCTTTGTTTCCAACCTGTCTCCAAAAAGAGAGACATGTTTCTAGTTATGAGCCAGAACACATCAACATGCTTTAAACCTCAATACCAAAGCTATAAATACTACACTATTTCCCTATCCATTCTCTCCATGACTGAAGAATGCACCAGCCAGCTTCAGGATTTATGAAGAGTCTTGGCAATAAAGACATTTATCTCAGAAGTCAATAATAACAAGGGCCATTATTAGCAGGATGATTTCTCGACAACCAAGTTTGTCACTGTCAGGGCTACGCTTTCTGGGTAGGGGTGTCTGCTCCTGCTTACCCCCTTCCTTTACTTTAACATAACTTGTGAAGTTGGAAATTCTGTAGGAGGGGAGCATCAGGGAACCCTACTGTATCTGCCCTGGCAAGGAGGTAGCAGGAGAGGGTTGGCGAGGAATATCCTGGGACTGAGAGGGTGGTGGTCTGTGTTCTCACTGATAGACTACCTACCATGGCCTTGGAAATATGTATCCTCTCTCTGAAAATTTCTCCAGTTTAAAGACTAACAAACATAAAGAGGAAACCCAGGACTTCAACAACGAGTCCACTTCAACAAGGAGCAGACTGAAGTGGCATAAAGGCACACACTCACAGTCTTACCCATGATGGTGAGACGTGTTGTGTTCTTATTTCAATTGCAGTAATTACATTGAAACATGCACCTATACCTATACAGTAGTATAATCAAATTTTACTGGGTTCCTCTCTTGGCATCATTTCCTTTTTTCCGGTGATGAGCAAGTGGCTACGGTAATATGTACCACAGAACTGGTTTTTTACTATTTTTCACTCCTGTGTTTCAACACTATCAACACTGTGTTTACCAACTCCTTTTTCAATGCAGGCTCCTGTGCCTTTAACCACCAGCAGCTGGCAAGCCATTCAAAGATGAGCCAAAAAGAAAGCTTCATCTAACCTCATAAGACCCAGCTGCCACGGAAGGGCTTTGTGGTCTCAAATTCTCAAGCAACTCAGAACACGGTTTTGATTTAGATGCATCACCCCTCAAAGTTTTTCACATGACAACAAGGGACAGTCATGCTTATGCAAGTATACACAAATTAAGAGTCTGTTTATTTCCTGTAGTGTGAAGCATACACTGCAGATGATGGGCAACTCTTTAGACTCATTCTTTCCCTCTTTTTAATGAACTGCTGTTGGCTGAACATAGCTGAAAAAAATGTAAGGTTTTGACCTAAGTAAATTGTCCTTAAGACTATGATTGGAGATATTCTTACATTCATTTCACACACATCTTATATTTCAGAGTTTGTAATTTCTCCTGTCATTCTTCAAACTTCTCAGAACGCAAAAGGAAAAAAAATGCAAGAACAACATAAGCATCAACAAACACTCTGGAAATGTAGGTCAAATTGATTTACATACTGCAAACCCTTAAAAACATTCCTCCATGTAGCATCATGGTTGTCTTGTTCAAGCTAGAAATCTTATACTTCTGGGTTTTGATTTGGCTTCATCTAAGAGGTGCTTTTTGAACTTAATCTAATCTATGCATATTTCTGTAAGAAAAGCACCCCCTCCCCTTGTGTCATTTTTGATCCATTCTAGGTTCAGCTTCTCAAAGCTCATAAGAAATAATTTGTGAGTCTCATTTCATATTCATACTTCACATTTCCAGGTCTTAAGGGAGTTCAAAACATAAAAGGCATTGCTGATTTCTTACTCTTAGTTCACTGAACAATGCCACAAACAGACAATGGAATATATGCAAGAAAAGAAAAGCTGTTGTGGACTTGGAGCATGCAAAAAAGGCTAAATTCTGAATTACAGTTTGCCAGCTACCTGGGGCCTATTTGGGACTTGTGTCCCAGAAAAGTGAGCTCTGATTCTGGTTAAGTACAGACAAGAACTTGTATTTTATCATGTTGTGTGAAAAGCTGCCCTATATAAAGTCAGTCCACTGAGCTGTCTCATTCAGTACTGCTTACAAACAGGCTTTCTCCAGTCAAGCAAACCTCTGATCATATTGAACTACAAATCACATCATCCCTAGCTAGGAATTATGGATGACACAATCCAACATGGCTGGCCTACCATGCTCAAGCAGGGAAGGGCTCTCCAAAATTTCAGAAGAGAGTTTTTGCCACTCTTATCAAGCATTTCCAATGTTTTAAGAGGATGCTCTATCAGTGAGCTTCTCCATCAGTTTCTATCAAAGGAAGTGCTAAGAAAAACTCGTAGAAATTGAAAAAGAGGCTGAATAATATCATACAAAAACAAAAATCTAGAGCTGAGATTTGTATATACATTTCAGACCCATGTCAAAAAACTGAATGTACATTTTTACATTTACACTCTAGTGTGTCACCTATTAAGGGATATTAGGAAGTTTTAGTAAATAAAGTAAGTACACAGAGGTGCCATTCACCTGAGACATTTCTTCCGTTAGTGCCACAACTGACAGAAAATTACAACTGGTAACTCAGTTATTTGGATGAGCTGGGTAGATTCAGGGACAGAAGTGGCTGAAGGAGATTAAGGTGGAATGGACCACACAAGGTTCTGAGGAGGAGGCCAAGATACACCAGCAGGGTCTGGGCCAAAAGGTGCTTCCTTTTTCTGCCTCAGAAAGTCCCTTGCCAACCTTGTTTCCTTAGATCAGTTCTACTGAAATAAAAAGGTGCCCCTTATGCAAGTCTTGTCACATCGATGGTGGCCATTCCTTTATCAGCAACACTGCTCATACAGTGCACTTACATCCCAAATTGCAGGGTTGAAAATATCTCTAAATTTCACACATTGTGTGACTGAGACCCCAGTATTGAGAGATTTCATTACAAAGAAAATGGAAACTATGAGCGGTTTCCTCAGTTGGTCCTGTTCAGTGTTTGTTGACTCAGAGTGGCCCAGTTCCAATCATCCAGTTAGGAAAACACGATTCCAGTCTGAAGAAGATGGAAAGGATTGAGCAATCTTGTCCTGCATTGATCTAGAAGACAGAATTAGAACTAGAACCAATGAATGGAAACTCCAGGGAAGCAGATTTCAGCTAAATCTTGGGGTAAAAATCTTAAGGGTAAAAGCTGTTCCACACTGGAAAGGACGGCCTTGGAAGATGCCGAGTTCTGCTTCTCTGATACAGTGGGGTCTCTACTTAAGAACGTCTCTACTTAAGAACAATCCAACTTAAGAACAGCTCCATTTGCTAAATTTTGCTTCTACTTGAGAACAGAAATCCAAGATAAGAACAGGAAAAAAAAACCTTTCCTGCTCTTTTTTTTAAGGTCATCTTAGGTTAAAAAAAATTCTCCCCCTAGTGGTAGAGTATGTATTAACCAGCTTTGCATTAGTTCCTATGGGAACTAATGCTTCAATGTACGAATGCACCTCTACATAACAACAACAACAACAACCAAAAAAAAAAAAAACCCAGCCAGAATGGATTAACTGGTTTTCAGTCCATTCCTATGGGAAATTTTGCTTCAACTTAAGAACGTTTCCACTTAAGAACACCATTCCAAAACGGATTAAGTTCTTAAGTAGCGGTTCCACTGTAGTTTCTATGGACGGAAAAGAGCAGATACAGATTAAATGGTTTTCAATGCATTCCTATGGGAAATGCAGATTCAACATAAGAACTTTTCAACTTGAGAACCACCTTCCAATACGGATTAAGTTCTTAAGTAGAGACCCCACTGTAATATTAAAGCAAGGGGGGGTATGGCCAGGTTTGAGATACTGGGATTACATTCTGTGTTGTAGATGTGGGGGCTCTGGAACATTACTGGAATTACTGGAACAAAAGCTGGAAACATTACATTTTAGTCCCAAAAAAATGTAAGCCTCTCCAAGTTCTGGATTAAATAACTCCTAACATTCTTTCCAATGCTATACTTCAGGAACTCTGCAGTTCCATGAATGGCTAGAAATAAAAAGATCATATGGCTCAATCCAGTTTGCCCAAAGCTCCAAAGTAAATTGAATACAGGGTTAAAGCTAGAACTGGCAGCAAGCATAAGGAAGATGGATCTGCCTCATTTCTGCCTAGCATTACAATGGCAGCTGTGCAGTTAAGTGGATGGTGTAACTCTTAGCAGCATATTGCTGTAAATTAAGAAATCTATGCAGATATTACCTGAACTGTGTGCCCTGGCATGCGACAGATAATGCCTACAGAGATTTCTTCACTTATCACAAGTTGAATCTAAAAGTTATGCCTTTTCCATAAGATTTCAGCCAATGCATAATAAAAATGAAGAGAGAATGAATAAAGAAAAAAGAATGCATCAATGTGAAAGGTGGAAAAGGGTGGGTGGGTGGTAATGCAAGGATTGAAATAAATAACAAATAATACAGGAACTGGAGGACAAGAGCCACACTGCACAAAGACCTGATACGGCAGAGTATACAATGCTGCAAATACTCCCAGGTCTCCCTAGCGTGTGGAATACATGTAGAATACATGTCAGCTATTAAAATATGTTTTAATGTTCTATCAAGGATACTGGTCATGCCACAAGATACAAAGGAATGGAAACATCAAGCTCTCTTCACAATGGTCAGTTGATATATGTATATATATATGAGAACACTATGTACAGAGGCTAAAGCAGATGCTGCTTTACTTACAAATTACACACTACCCAATTGTCTTACTTACAGTCCTCATTAGACCTGCATTGGAAAGAACTTGGAGATATGTGGTAAAGCCATACGTTCCTCAGCAAGCGGTGGGAAATTTGTTCAGGAATTTTGATTGCCATCTCTGTGTTAGCTCTGAAGAAAGTTGAATATTAGATCTTCTTGCAGGTCATTTTGAAGGGTGAAATTTCATTAGAAAGTCCTAAGTGAACTGACACAATCCTTCAGATTTACTATCTTCCATATTAACTTTTAAAATGTTGCTGTTTCTTCTTTGCAGTGGAGTGAGATTATAAAGTCATGATTATTTACATATTGCAAAATGAAGAACAATAAATAAGGACTGTTGTAATGATATGTAGTTTGTCATGAACACATTGATCACGTTAAAAAAGTGGAGGGGAGGTGCATCAATGGACCTCTGTAACAGCCACTCTTCTCAGTATCAGTGAGTCATTGGGGGCTTCAAAAGAATTGTTCCTTTTTAAGAGGAGGCAAAAATGCTATGACATCACAAGGCTGCCCTCTGATCTAAGCTAAATCTCTGTCAATGTGACCTTGAAGCCTTCCACCATGCTTTCCATGTTCAGGATGAAAGTGTCCTCATTTGAGTAATGTTCAATGATGTTATCATCCATATTGACCAGGATCCTGCAATTGGAAAAGAAGCTATCAGTCAAGCATCTGAGGCTACACTCTATGCCTCTGAAGAAGTAAGATAGGATAGTTCACACTTATTAATGGTCATGGTGCTACACGTCTCTGTTGTTTAAGTGAATGACCCAAAATGCAGTTCATCGTTTCCTGGAGTGGCAGCTTCAGATGTAATCTGTAAGCCCCACAGAACATAGTGATGTTCGTTTTCTTCCCAGTAAATATAGACAGGCTTGCACTGTGAATGACCACTGTGAACTCACTGTGATCTATGCCTACAAGGTAGCTTGAGTTAATACAAACCTCTCAAATGACTGGGATGTTCCTTTGTGCATTTCAGTGAATTATAATGCTATAAACATACAGAACACATACAGAAAGAGACATTATCTCTGCACTCTTAACTCTTAGTATCGTCAATGAACATCTGACTTTTCAGATGTTGTTGGACTCCAAACCCCATCTTTCCTTACCAACGGTCATGATTTCTGAGGCTAACAAAAATGGGACTTTTACCATGCCTGGAATGCCACAGGTTCCCCACCCTGCTGAAGGACATGCCGTGTCAGATTTTATTTTGAAAGGTTGTCTTCTTATTGCCTTTGCCTCTTCTTCTGTGGTCCCCAAAGGCATTGCACCCTGACCCTCATCCTATATGGAAATGGTCTCAGGAAGATTTTTGTCTCCCCGGTTCTTAAATCCACTGTCCAAAACTGCAAGTTTCAATAATCATATACGTATATACTGAGACAGAGCACACTTTCCCCACAAAACAGCTTCTCAGACACAACCTGATAGGTGTTGAGCAGGTATCTATAGATAGATAGAAACATTTCAGCAGACAGTTGCACAAAACAAACCAGACTAAGTATGGGTGCTGTTAGAAGAAAGGCTGAACTCAAGCTTACTATGCAGAGTGTCTCTGATACAATCAGTGGCCTCTCTTACTTAAAGCATCTAAAGTAGCAGCAGAGGTAAGAAAAGCCAGCAGCCCAAATTTACTGCCAAGTGAGTAGACAGATGGTACTGAGCTCACTTGACTAATGATCGGAGGAAGACCTGTTGAGATTATATAGGGTGTGCAAGCAAGGAGGTGCCAAAAAGAGGAAGCCATGTGTTGAATCAGGGATGGGCAATATCCTCCACTTCAGGTACCCATGTTGATGATGGTCAAGTCTGAAAATAACAATGGATGATTTTGGCTAGAGAGCCAAAAATAGGCAAACCAACCCTCTCTTCTTCCTTCCTTCTTCTTTTTCCGTACTCTGCCTCTTCACTTATTTCCTTGACCCCAGCTCTCTACACACTTCTCTTTACTTAGCAGCCAGCTAGGGAAAAGATTGGTTATTCTTGCAGAGATTTCACTGATCACTTGCACAAGGTTTTTGACATCAGGCCAAGCAATGGTGGCTGCCCACACCATATTAGGCAGCCAATTATAGCTATGGCAGATGGACCGTTGGAGGAAGGAGAGCAAGATCTATTGTCCCCGATCTATTATCTTACTCTTCTGCTCCTCGTCTCTTATTATGAGATTAGATGTTCTAACCTTTTCTGCGGCTGCTTAAATTAATCACAGTTATAAGTAAATTTAGTAGCCGTGTTAGTCTGTGCAAGCATATCAGGCAAAATCCGAAGGAAAAAAATAACATATATATAAAAAATAAAAATAAAAAATACAAGTAATATATGAGTAAAATATTAACTACTGTATTCCTTTATCTAATTAGTAATGAAACTGTTACAAATAGCCCTGATACCGTGAGAGCTACTACAGTGCTGCTGTTCCACCCACAAGCCTGCAAGTAATAAGGAGGTTGATAGCTGTAATGAGTTACCTTTCTGCAAGAACGAAAGTGTAGCAAAGCTACATTTGATGAGCAACATAGTAAGTGGGAAAGCGACACAACACAGTTTTTAATTATATTTTCCAGTTACTTTTTAAAGTCACCTTTTTCTAGAGGCATTCTGAGTAGTTTTATGCCATTATCAATGCAAAAATATATTTTTGTACTTTAGAACCCGAGTACTGCTACAAGTTAGTTTTCAAACACTGTAAAGAGTAACAGGAGGGAATCACTCTTAAACCTTCTGAGCACTAACCCTGTCCTGAGCGTTATAAATTCTGAAGCCAATAGTGGAGTCCCAGGGACCCTGCTGGCAGATGGAAAGGATGAAACATGGGTACCTTCCATGTGGTCCCTACCAATATTTCATGACCTCTGTGCAGTCACACAATAGCTGCTCTCAGGCTATAAACTAATTGTGGGAAGTCTCTCATGGACTCTAGAGTTGTAAACGGTGGTGAGAAACTAACAATTTAACCTTTCCTGTAACAAGCCTCTGCGAAGTGGCAGCTGCTCAGAATCCAGATTTCTTATATAGCACGACCACACGCCACCTAGTTAGCACACAGAAACCACCTCGGCCGGAGTCTCAAAACACTTTTGCAAGAAAGAAAGAAACAAAGGAACAAATTGACCCACAAGGTGAGTTTCTGTTTGACTTACCCTTTTTTGCTCTTCTTGTAAAGCTTTGTGATCTTTTCAGCCGGAAGGCCATACTTCTCAGAAATCTAAATTTAAAAATTAAAAATGAAGGAAGAAGATTTATATTTTAAAAAATGAACTCCATACCATTCATTTCCCATTAAACGGTGTAGCTAATGCTAGAGGTATTCAAAATGACTTGTCCTTCTCAGCACTACTAAGGTTAACAGGCTAACTTTCAGTAAATTCCTGTACCTTTCTGCTCAGGAATGTGCTTTGCTGAGTTCAATGATATTTACATTATGCCATAATAACATTAAGACTGACTGAAATTCTTCCCATGCTTAAAATCTACTCTACGAGTCATGTGGTTTCCTTGTTATATGTCTCAACTACATTTGTACAAATAAAGGAGTTTTTTTAAAAAAATTTTTTGAAGAAGCCTATTGTTTATTAGAATATTCTTGAAGAAACTGAACTGCCAAAATCAAGGCAGCTTGCAAGATGTCTGCAAGTTATTTAACAATATGAACAAACTTTAACTTATATATCTGTTATGCCTTACAAAGGTGATGAATGACAATAGGCAGATCAAGTATTTTGCTTCTAACTTAACTTCTAACTTTAAGATTTAAAGCACTGGTACAGACATCACACTGTACCAGAGCACAGAGTGCTGTCCTCTGAAGATGCCAGCCACAGAGACTGGCGAAACGTTAGGAAGAATAACCTTCAGAACACAGCCAAGGAGCCCGAAAAACCCACAACAACCATTTAAGATTTAACTTAAAATATATTGAAATGATAAAATAACTGAGTTCAAGGCTGATCAGAGCCAATAATTTACCATAGCAAAGCCCCTATTCCTGCATTTTCCCACTCAAGTCTTTAATAGACCTATTTTATTATTGCTTTCTTTGATTCATATTATCTACTTCACTGTGTTTTAGAATTATTGTCTGTATGCCATCTTGACACAAATTGTATGATAAATTTAAAATAATGTACATATTAATATATACAACAAAATATGCTACTTAAAAGAATGAAGAACTGAAGTGTCTTTTAGTAAATTTATATGAAATTTAGTTTACAAACATACACAAATTAAATATATCAGTTAAATCCAGTACTAATACTAAAAAGTCCTAGTGTGGCAGAGAAGGCCAATTCGAGAGTGACAATCCCTTTCACACTGAGGACAAATACTATCTGTCCCCTGTCCAGCTCCCTGGTTTTGCTCCTTTCATGACTGCCTCTTTGCCTCAGCCTGCTGGACAAGGGTCTCTTCAAATTGGGAGAGGCCCCGATGAACCGCCTGCCTCCAGGCTAAATGCTCAGATGTCAAGGTTTCCCATCTGTTGAGGTCCATTCCTAAGGCCTTCAGATCCCGTTTGCAGATATCCTTGGATTGCAGCCATGGTCTCCCTCTGGGGTGATTAGTGCAGGGGATCCTTTGGAATCCGACCATCAGCCATTCTCACGACATGCCCAAGCCAACGTAGATGTCGCTGTTTCAGTAATGTGTACATGCTAAAAATTCCGGCTCATTCTAGGACTACTCTGTTTGGGACTTTGTCCTGCCAGGTGATACCGAAAATGTGTCGGAGGCAACGCATATGGAATGTGTTCAGCTTTCTCTCCTGCCGTGCACAAAGGGTCCAGGACTCACTGCAGTACAGGAGTGTGCTCAGGACATAGGCTCTATGGAACTGGAGCTTGGTATATGCCGACAGCTTCTTATTGAGCCATACTTTTTTTGTGAGTCTTGAGAACATGGTAGCTGCTTTGCCAATGCGTTTATCCAGCTCGACATCTAGGGACAGAGTGTCAGAGATCATTGAGCCAAGGTACACAAAGTCATGAACAACCTCCAATTCTTGCGTGGAGGTAGTAATAGAGGGAAGGGAGTCCATGGCCTGGCCCATGACTTGTGTTTTCTTCAGGCTGATTGTTAGTCCAAAGTCTTGGCAGGCCTTGCTAAAATGATTCATGAGTTGTTGGAAGTCTTTAGCAGAGTGGGCAACAATGGCTGCATCATCGGTGAAGAGGAAGTCCGGCATGCATTTCAGCTGGACTTTGGTCTTTGCTCTCAATCTAGAGAGATTAAAGAGCTTTCCATCTGATCTAGTCCAGAGATAGACACCTTCTGTTGCAGTTCCAAAGGCCTTCTTCAGCATGACAGCAAAAAAGATCTCAAACAGGGTTGGTGCGAGGACACAGCCCTGTTTCACTCTGCTTCGGATGTCAAAGGGATCTGATGTTGCACCATCAAAAACTACATCAAAACTCTCAATCTAGAGAGATTAAAGAGCTTTCCATCTGATCTAGTCCAGAGATAGACACCTTCTGTTGCAGTTCCAAAGGCCTTCTTCAGCATGACAGCAAAAAAGATCTCAAACAGGGTTGGTGCGAGGACACAGCCCTGTTTCACTCTGCTTCGGATGTCAAAGGGATCTGATGTTGCACCATCAAAAACTACATCAAAAACCTCATGAAAGGACCTGATGATATTAAGGAGGCGAGGTGGACATCCAATCTTGGGAAGTATTTTAAAAAGGCCATCCCTGCTAATCAAATCAAAGGCCTTTGTGAGATCTATGAAGGCCACAAAGAGTGGCTGTGGTTGTTCCCTACATTTCTCCTGCAACTCTCTGAGGGAAAATACCATGTCAGTGGTGGATCTATTGAAATCCACACCACACTGTGGTTCTGGATAGACTCTGTCTGCAAGCACTTGGAGTCTCAACATGGGCAAGCAGCTTCCCTACAATGCTGAGAAGAGAGATGCCATGGTAGTTACTGCAGTCGCCCCCTTGGCTTTGTTCTGATACAATGTGACGATGTTTGCATCCTTCATGTCCTGTGGTACTCCACCTTCTCTCCAGCAAAGACATGGCTAAGCATGACAGAAAGTTTAACTCCTCACATCTAGAAGGCAAGAGGCTGTGGAAGACAGCTCCAAGCAGCTGCACCTTGAAAGGGGCACTGGATAGCAGTTCATTTCTGTGGCTCCTCAGACCCTTAAAATAGAGGAAATCAGCCCACTGCTGATTTGGAGGGTTTCATAAGGAGAAGAGCCCAACATTTGCCATGATTCCACATTATCCTTTGAAAAACATAGTTTGAACACAGCCAAAAATTTCACAAAGTCACAAAACATTGATATAGTAGGCTTGTAGAGGAAAATGGAATCTTCTCTTCTCAGGTGAGCTCTGAGACTCTGAAGCTTGCCCCAGTCTTCTTCTCCCAGTCTTCTGACCTCCTGCTCCACAACCAGATACCCAGCTCACTAAGTTATCCAATCAGCCTTAGTTTCCTTAGATAAAAATATTGCAACCAAGGAAAAGACTCCCAATAGCTCAGTAGAATCAGAGTTTGCACAAATTTCTATTCGTATTAGCACTCCAAATCCCCTGGCCAGCATAGCACTACCAGCTGGTGGATTCTGGGCACTGTGAGTCTCAAAAGTCACTTTTCCAAGATGTGAATATATTGATAAACTTTGACTTTTTGTGTAACATATATTAAATCTTTGGATAATCTATTTGAAGAATGACTTAAATTGAGTTGGGGAAAATATCTAGTTTGGGAGAGATTTTGTAGATACAACAGAAAAGCCCCATAGATATTTTCAAAAGCCCTTTGCTCCTTTCCCTCTTCCTACGCCATGTATCAACAGAGTAGTTCTTTTCATGCTGATAATGTGACAACATTTATCAATATTTATGCAGATGTGGAGCAGATAGATTTTGTGGCATATCTTTCAATTAGCCATGGATTGTGGAATGACACCGTCCTCTGTGTGCCTAACACTAATGGATTAATACAGAAAAGCATCCCCAAATAGGGATAACATTATATCAAAGGAAGTATTTTTTGTAAATCACAGCCTGTCCTTGGCAAAGCGAAACAGCAACCTATCAAAGCAAACTTTGATCTCCTTTAAAGGTCAAAATTATGTTCAGATACTATGAGATATAATTATTCCCTTTGTCATCCCTCCAAGATCAGGCCTAGACAAACTCCAATAGATATTAAAAATGTGGTGGGACAAACATTTGGAGAGGGCAAAGCACTCTTCAAGCACTTGATAAGCATTGCTATGGAATGCTGACACTCAAAGGGAAAAACAGGAGTTGAAACAGAGAACACTGCCTGAATCCTCAACAGCAACCATCCACGCTGCAACATTCTGTTGCAACATCTCTCATGCAGGCTCTCTGTAAGTACATGCTTTTGGTTTTATTCACAGCACAACTTCAAGCAGTTTTGTACAGCCTCCAGTCAGCTTTGTACAGAAGTAGTTCTCAAAGCCATTATCTGGTTACAATTTCAAACAGCTAATTAGAGCTCAGTTCACACTTTTCCTTATGACTCAGCCTCAGGGCAAATAAGAAAGGGGAAGAAGATTAAGAGCTCTCTGCAAAAACACTCACAGAACACCACCAGCTGACTTCAAGGCATCTTAATTTACCAGGTTTTGATCTGGTGAGGAAAAAGAGATACAAAGGGCAAAGGTTTTTGGCAAAATAAACCAGGAAAGCTTTTTGACATAAAAGTTTGCACTGGATAAATCAAAGAGATTTCTATCAGCACTGAATCGAGCATGTCTACTGGATTTTATTTCTAAAGAAACATTGGAAAATGAACTGAAAATCTGGAATTTGAGCCACAAGCTAGTCTGCTTACAGTGGTTTCTACTTGCCTCTGGTGTCCCTGCGATCATTTAATGACAAGCCCAAATTATCTATTTTTGTATTCTTGAAGGCTTTCACGGCTGGGATCCGATGGCTGTTGTAGGTTTTTTGGGCTGTTTGGCCATGTTCTGGAGGTTTTTCTTCCTAACGTTTCGCCAGTCTCTGTGGCCGGCATCATCAGAGGACTGGAGTCCGAACTCTGTGTTCCAGAACACAGAAAGAAGTTCTGACTCCTGTCCTCTGAAGATGCCGGCCACAGAGACCAGCAAAACGTTAGGAAGGAAAACCTCCAGAACACGGCCAAACAGCCCGAAAAACCTACAAGAACCATTATCTATTTTTCAGTGTTTTTTAACTAGAATGTGAGTGTGAAAAATGTTCAGTAT